ATGCCCCTCAGCCTGAGTCGAGTTTCAGCCTAAATTTTGGGAAAATGACACATAGGGGCCGTAGACGGGGGCTTATATACTGTAGTGAGGTGATTGAACAGAGGGGGGGGATCATAGTGGTCCACCACTATCGAGAGGTCTTTGCCCAAAAAGGTTAACAAGCTTAAAGAATTCTTTGTAAAAGCCCCATATCTGCTGTCTGACAGTTGGAGAAGGGTTTTTGAAAAACCGACAAGTTGAAGATTGGACACTTATGCACATTGGGAATTTTTATTCGGAAACTTTCGCCCACGTGTTTCATCAGTCCAATACAAAGAGGAAGGCGTAAGGAGAGGGGAGTATGAGGTAATCATCCCTCACCGGGATCGATGTTTCAGCCCCATCAATCTTGTAGAATGTACAGAAAAGGGCCGAGACGGGGCTTAATACTGTTTGAGGTGACTTGAAGAAACGGAGGGGGGATATAGTGTACCATCCACAGTCGAATGGGTCTTTGTCAAAGGTTAAACAACTTGGGAAGAATTCTTTGTAAGAAATCCCATGAGCGCAGTTTTCTGAAAAAAAATGCTCAATCTTCAACTTGTCGGTTTTTCAAACCATTCATCAAAACTGTCGACCTGCAGCTCAGGGATTTCTTAAAAAGAATTCTTCAAGCTTGTTAACCGGGACAAGACCTACTTCGACTAGTGGATGGTCCACTATGATCCCGCCCCCGTCGCTTCAATCACCTACTACGAATTTTAACCACGCTGGGCCCCTATGTGTACATTTACAAGTTTGATGGCTGAAACATCGACCCAGGCTGAGGGATGATTACCTCATATCCTCCTCTCCTTACGCCTTCCTCTTTGATTGGACTGATAAAGCCACGTGTGGCAAACTTTTCCTGAAATAAGATCCCATCTGCATAAGTGTCCAATCTTAAACTTGTCGGTTTTTCAAACCATTCATCACAACTGTCAACACTGCAGCATCAGGGATCTTCTTAAAAAGAATTCTTCAACGCTTGTTAAACCTTTTGGACAAAGACCACTTAAGTGGATTACACTATGATCCCCCCTCCGTCTTTTCAAGTCACCCACACAGTATAAACCGTCAACGGCCCTATGCTGTACATTCCAAAATTGAGGATTTAAACACATCGACTCCAGGCTGGGGGGACGATTACCCAACCCTTTTCCTTTACCCTTCCTCTTTGTTTTGGGACTGATGAAGCCACTGTTGGCGAAACTTTTCCTGAAAAAAGATTCCCTATCTGAAAAGTGCCCTAATCTCAACTTGTCGGTTTTTCAACCATTCTCACAACGTCGACACTGCAGCATCAGGGGACTTCTTACAAAAAATTCTTCAACGCTTGTTCAACTTTGGGACAAAGCCCACTTCGACTAGGGATGGACCACTATATCCCGCCTCCGTCGTTCAATCACCCACACAGTAAAAGCCCTCACGGCCCAGCTGTACATTCTACAAGATTGAGGACTAACACTCGATCCACTGAGGGACGATTCCCTCATACCCCTTTCCTCTCCTTACCCCTTTCCCTTTTTGTATTGGACTATAAACCCCACTGTTGGCAACCGTTTCCTGAATAAAGTTTCCCAATGCTGCATAAGTGTCTCAATCGGATGGGGGGGGCAAGTCCCGATTTGCAGGTGTATGGTGTAGGATTTTGTTCGAACAGTAAGTTTTTATGAGGATATTGGGGTCAAGCAAAGGTATGTAGGAAAAGGAAATTTTTTCCCAAAAAAGTAGGCCCTTTTAGAAAAGGGAGGGTTTTATGTCACCGTGGTTTTTTAAATATATTTAAATGGGTTGTAAGAGAAGTAAATGGAGGGGCGGCAAGAGGCGTGGAGTTAAAAGAAAAAATCACACATAAAGTGGGAGTTGTCACAGTTGTCTTGCGATACACTTGCTTTGGGGGATCCTGAAGAGATTTGCAGAGATTGGTGGGTGAATTTTGGGAGGGTGTGCAAAAAAGAAAATTGAAAGTGAATACAGGAAAGAGTAAAGGGTTTTGAGGTAACAAAAAGTTAGGGGATGAAAATTTTGGGTATAATTTGGGGGAGAGGTATGGAGGAGGGAATGTATTTGATATTTGGGGGGGACGGTCACGGATGGGGCATGAAAAATGAGGGGGAATCAAGAAAATTTATGAGGGGAAAAGGGTGAGTGGTGCATAGGAGTCGTGGAGACAAAGAACTTTGTCCTTGGAGGCAAAAAAAGGGGGAAAGATGGAGATAAATTTTTTCCCAAACCTTATAGGGTGTGAAGCATGGGGGTGAATGTTGACGAGGAGAAGGTGGGGCAGTGGGGAGTCATGTCTAGAGCAATGTGTGGGGTTAATAAATGCAGAGATTGTAGTTTGGAAGTTAGGAGGGGGGTGCGGGATTACAAAACGTTTCCAGAGGGTGAGAAGGGGTTTTTGAGGTGGTTGGACATGTGGAGAGAATGGGGCGAACAAATAACTTCAAGAGTGTTCGCGTATGTAAGGGAAACGGGGGGGGGTGGCCTAGGAAAAGGGTTTGGGGGAGGGGGGAAAGGAGGGGTTTTTTGTGCGAGGGGCTTTGGGCTTCCAGCGGCATGCGTGAGGGTTTGGGAGGATTTAAAAGGAGCAAATGGTTTTTAATTTTGACGGCTTTGGAGTGGAGCAAAAAACATTTATGAAGGGGTTCAGGGGGAAACCCAGCTACTGAGTCGGGATGGGAAGACATTCCTGCACCTAGGGGGGATTAATGTGCCGTTTAAAAAAATTAGTGTAAAGCACCCTTCGGCAAGACAGTGAGGAGTAATGATGGTGAAATTTTTTTTTTTTTCGGGCCACCCTCCTTGGGGGAATCGGCCAGTTGATAATAAAAAAAATAAATAATTTTTGTAAACCTTTTAAAAGGTAAGGCTTGGGGGGGAGTAATTAAGAGGGCCTTAACTCTGCTTGAAGAAATGTGGGCCCGAATGGTAGACAAAAGGGGGTTTTTAAGGGTTTGAAGCAACCCGAAAGTGTTGCCGTTGAGAATCGATTGTGGATTGGGGAAGTCCTGGGGTTGGGGGGTTAGTGGGGAGGATGTGGAAGAGTTGGTGGGGGAGGACAATGAAGAACAACCCCTGATGAGCGCTAGATCATCTTCAAAAGGGGGGAAGAGGGCCGACCAGGGAAAAAGCTTCGGAGGAGGGGAAAAGAGAAATTGAAGAAGTTGCCTACTTCAAAGATAAGGAAAAAAGTCAATGGGCTTAAAGTGCAAACCTTTTTGGAGAAAATCACCCCAGACAGCTATTGCAAACTGTTGGTGACTATTACCTGACAAAGTTTTTGAAACACTTTAAAATTCATAAAGGAACGGAGGAAAGACCCCTATGGACAGATATTTGTCGACAGAAGTCCCCGTACTCGAAGCGACCGTGGGTTAAAAAAAAGGGGAAATAACCCCGGAAAAGGACTTGACACCTCAAATCCAAAGGAAGGGGGTTCCCCCTTTTAAACACTAAAACCCCTCAACACTCTCCCCCCTCCATCCCATCAATCTCACCCAATCTTCAATAAAGGGAAGTGCATGTAAAGTGCTTCTTTTCAGTTTGGTTTTTTTAAAATTAATATTTTTGGGTAAAAAAAAATTTTTTTTTTCATACTTTTGGGTGTCTTACACGGATTAATTTGATTTCCATTTTTTCTTTGGGGGGAAATTAATTGCCTAAAGTAATTTTCCCCCAACACTGACTTCAGGAAAGATTAAAGCATTATGCGAGGGTCCCCTGTATTCTAAGCCATGCTGGTTTAGCACACGTTCAAGCAGTATTGTGGTTGTGTAATACACGGGTTTTTGGGCCCCGACAACTGTAATGTTAATGAATATGCCATCTGTCTGTAAGATTATGCAGGTTCTGTGAAAAAACCCGTTTTTCTTAGAAAGGGGGGGGGAAAGGGGGGGTGTTGGGGGCCCACCGGGGTTTTGTGTGGGGGGAAATTATTGGGAATGGGGAAAATAGTGCATCTGTTGCTAATGGTTTATTTTTTACCTTTACTATTTTGTACTGTTTCCAATAAAATATATAAAAAAAAAACCCAATATCGGTATGCCAGTGGTTACCGTATATATCAAGAATGCCAGTGGTTTTTTCGTGTAATTCACTAACCCAGCGGTTTTTACCGTATATATCAAGAACCCAGCTGGTTATTATATATCAAATAATACCAGCTGGGGGTACGTGTATATACAGGGAACCCCAGCTGGTTACCTGTATATATCAAGTAATGCCAGCTGGTGTCCTGTAAATCAATAATGCCAGTGGTGTACATTTATATCTTTAAACCCAAAATGGTGTACCTTTAATCAAGTAATCCAGCTTGGTGTACCGCATATGTAAGTAAGCCAACGGTGTACCTATTAAAAACAAGGGAGCCAACTGGTGTACCTTAATTCAAGTAATGCCAACTGGTGTACCTGTATATATCAAGTAATCCAGCTGGGGTACCTGACATACAAGTAAGCCATGGTTACTGTATATATCAAGTAACGCCAAATGGGTGACCTGTATATATCAAGTAATGCCACTGGTGTACCCGTATATATAAGTATGCCCCTGGTGTACTGAATATCAAGTAACCCCGCTGGGGTACCTGTAATATAAAAAACCCACTGGTGTACCTTTTTAACATTTTATTGAAACAATGTTTTCAGATAAGGGAAAAAATCCACTAACGGGTCTGTCACTGGTTACTAAAAATTGTTTTTTTTTTTTTTTAATATACAAGAAATGGGACAAGTACGGTATTAGTAAAAAAACTTTTGGATACGGGAGACAAACTGGGACTGATCGATGATAGTTGGTATAAAAAATAAAGGAAAACTAATCTAATTCCCGAATTTTTTAAATTAAAACATTTCACTCATTAGAATTTAGTAAAGTAGAGCAGGGGACACTGTCCTCTGTCTTCATGCACTCTCTCCAAACCCGCCAGAAATTAAAATTTAAAAAACGAGAAAACAAATTAAAAAAAATTTACTCACTATAGTGGCACTAGCCAACCGGCCAGTGAGTGGAGGTGGCTCAAAATGCACGTGGAGGCGGCTTGTGCCGTGGGGTTGGCTCATGTGCACTGGGGTTGCTCTGGCACTGGGGGCTGGCTCACCCGGAGGCTGGGGTTTTGTGCACGTGGAGGGTTGGGCCCTGGGACGTGGAGCTGGCTCATGTGCACGGGAGGCGCCAGTCACGGGGCTGCTCATGCATGGGGCGGCTCACTGCACGGGAGGCGGGGCAATTAGTAAGAAGGGTGACTATTCTTTCCTTAAAGAGAATATTCCCCCCTGCATCTGTGCCTTTCCAGGCGGACCATACTCCCTCTTGTGTCTTTCTATGGCCCTTTAGGAGGGGTCCCTGGGGATGGGGGTGGGGGTGGTGATGTTGGGGGTGGGTGGGCGTTAGGGGGGCCCGGGTGGTGGTGGTGGTGGTGTGGCTGGGGTTCTTGACGTCGAGCAAAACCTGGGTTTTCCCCGCTCGAACTCAATCCCCTCGCCCCTTTTTAAAGGGAGGAAGAGTACTTTCAGGAAATTTTAATACTTTGTTTTTTAATATTTTTGATGGATTTGGGAAAAAGCTAGATATTGGTTTTTACTTCTTAGTTGGTGGTTAATTTATTTTGTTAATTTGCAACTTCATGCCACCTGACCCTCTTCCCTATACCGTTTTAAAATTTGCTTAATAAAAAAGTACCACAGAAATTTTATCCTGTAAAGGAGTGCCTTTTCCCCGGCAGTGTAGTTTGGGAGGGGGGGCGGTAGGGGTTTGGGGCCACAAAAACCCATATGAACCATAACAGGGAAGGGAGGACCATACCCAGAACACCAGGGGAGGAATACCCACAAAAGCCCCGACCCACTCCCGCATCGAAGCCCCCCCTCCACCGCCACGCCTGCAACCCCGTCTAAAACCCAAAAGGCGCTCACACACAATAAAACAAGACTACAATAAATGTTAAAAATTTTTAAATTTTCCTGGACCTGTGGCAATAAAATGGGGTAATAGTATTTATAAAATCTCTGTGGGTGATTTTTATTGACTTTTAAAAAGTATTTTGGGGGCCCCTTTTTCTGCAACCCCCCTTTTTAAAAACAAAATCTCAATGTACTGTTTGCAAAGACATAAAAAAAAAAAAAAAAATAATAAACATGACAATCAATATTCTCTGTAATTTTTTTTAAAAAAATGATACGTAAGGAGTTGTTTAAAGAAAAAAAAAGGAACAAATATAAAAGGACTAAAATAAATTTTTGGTGAACAAATAAAATATATCAAATAATGGAGCTTTGGGGGAAAGAAGAGGGAGTACTTTAAAGGTAATTCTTTAAAGTTAGAAATTTTAATATAAAATTTAATAAAAAGGGGGCAAAAATAAAATTTGGTGAACAAAAAGGGGTAATCAAATAATTGCACAAGGTTAATATAAAGACTTTTGGGAGCTATTTTTGACTAGAAAGCATAGACAACTTATTTAATCAAAAAAATAAACAATCAAATTAAAAAAGCACCATCTTCACTAGTTAAATTTCAATAGGTCAAATATAATGAATTTGGTATTGACTATGTACAACTGATTTTTAAATTTAAAAATATAAAAAAAGGCACAAGACTCTCAATTGAATTGCACAAGGTTTTAATAAGTTGTTTACAAAATTAGGTATAATAGATTTTTAAAAAA